TAAAAAATGTTAACATAAGCCCTCATTCACACGAGTAACGGTTGGCCTGTACAGATCCGTTTTGGGACACTCCCGGAAAGGACAGGTGCTGCATGTGATTTGTACGCGGCCCGTCCTTCTCTATGGGAGTACGCCGCCCTACGCTCACCCAAACTGCACGTGGAGATGGAAGTAGACAAGTCTCATGGAAGTCTATAGGGATCATCTACATATTTATTAAACAGACCAAAGGGGAATAAGGGGGAGAACGTTGCCATGGTGAACAGACACTTTAATTGGTATCGCCTCTGCAGCACTTTTTTTTTATAGGCCTGTGTTCACTTTTTTGGGGACCCTCTTCCTGTGTCTCCTATGATCAGAGATGGTGGAAATGAGGCAGATTAGGAGATTTATCCCATCTTGAAACTCATGCACCTAAAACAAAACATATGGGACTTATTTCCATGGTACGGTGGTGGGAACGGATCCTATTGGATGTCATTTCGGAAGACGTTGTGCCTGCGTTGTGGAATGTATGGCAGTGAGCCGCTGAGAAGAAATCCTGGGACAGAAAAAAAAAATGAAATCCAACTTTATTTAGAAAGGATTCTTTTCTGTGCGTATGTTTCTATTTCCATTTCTAATGACTCTCCTGCCAGAACCTTCATGTGCTGGACCCTCTGTCAGGTTCCCAGATAGCAAGCAATTGAGCTGGAAGTTTGAAAATGACTTGCTAAAGTATGGCTAGACTTGCCGAGCCTCACAATTATGTTGCACAATTACAGCAAGTCTGCATTGCAAGTCTCCAGATCAACGTGCTTTGCAAAAGTGCCGTACACTCGCAGAGCTCTCGCTAAGACCTGCAGGACTCTTGCTGTGGACTTACCAAGAAAATGTGCTACAAATTCAAAAAGTGTCGCCTAGAACTTGTGCTGCGAGTGTTCTGCAAGTCTGCAACCTGCCAGGGAATGTGTGCAGCAAGTTAACAAGAATTACAATTTAACCCTGGCACAAGTTTGTGGCAAGTTATCCTTGCTATCTGGGTTGTCATTGCCATCCGGGTCTATGCTAGAAAGATTTCCTCTTATCTGTCCTAAACCCCATTGTCTATACGAGAAGCAGAAAGATGGATATCTCCCCGATGGGACACAAGGGGCAATATAAAAATGACTAAAAAAAAAGAAGAAGTTTGGTCTGGAATTTAACTTTAACCCTTTCATTGCCCTCCTTCCCAGGGCTCTTCCAGTCACATCAATTCAATTTCCTGGTAGGCAGAGGCAGGGATGTCTTCCTCAGATCTGACAGCTGACTTGAATAGGCCAACGCTGGCCATACACTGTTGGACTTTCGGACGATTCACAGGAATTGGCGCAAGTTCTTACAGTGGGTGGCCCTGCTGGCTCAGCAAAAGTTGATAATGGAATCGACGGAGCTGGGCCAAAAGATTGCAGCCAATCAGCAACAATGTCTGTTCATGTAGTCTGACAGTGGTAGGCACATGTCCTTTAATTAAAATTAAAAACAGCTTTTGTTGCAATATTGACATTCACTCCACAACTCTCCCCTGCAGTACTTCTCCACCACTGGGTGTCCTCAATCTTAATCCTCCCCCCGCCCCACTCTCTAACTGGACAGTGAAAGGAGAAGTAGCACAGGGATTAGATCCCCTCTCTGTCACTCTGCTTTCTCCTCCTATCATAATATGAACTGATTGGCTCCTTGTGCTGCTGCTGCTTCTTCTCACACTCCAGCCCTGCTGTACCGGGAACTGCAAGAAGCTGAAAAAAACACATTTAAAAAAAGGAGAAGTATGAGGCGAGTTATTTTCACTCATCCTCATAGTTCGAGCCGACCTGTGACAATGAAACTGTCACACATCGGCTCAATAGATCGGAAAGAGAGCGAACACATACCGTCGCTTGCTCACTTCTCGATCCTGTCCCTGCAGAGAGCCGTGACTGTCACGGGAGGACGCTAGTTTATGTCCTCCTGTGACATTTAGGAGAACTATGGTGAAAAACACTTACCCCTTAGTTCTCCTTTAATGATGTATTAAAAAGAGAACTATGGGGTGTTTTTCCCCATAGTTCTCTTTAGGGTCACGGAGGACATATACTAGCGTCCGCCTGTGACCCAAAGCTCAATATATAGCGAGCTACAGCTAGCGGTATACTGAGACCGCCGCAGCTGGGACGGATCCCAACATCACTGTCGAGATCCACCCAGCTGCGAGAGTGACAGCTGGCTCTGCTTATCTAGAGGCAGACCCAGCCGTACCCGCCCCCTCCCATTCCGCCAGTCAGCGCTGGAGGATCGGAGAGGGGAGGGGGGAATCACTGAGGGGAGTCGTGGGTGACAGTCACCGCTCTCTGCAGGGACATGATCGGGAAGTGAGCAAGCGACGGTATGTGTTCGCTCACTTCCCGATCTATTGAGCCGACCTGTGACAGTTTCATGAGGATGAGTGATTTTCACTCACCTCATAGTTCTCCTTTAATGATTACAAAGCTGCATTGGTCTGTGTCTTTTATATCGGCCTTGACATCAGTTTTAAGATCCCAGCGAAATTCCCACAGCAGCCAATCAGATCTCAGCTATTATTTTTCTGCACATGGTAAGAAATGAAATGATGCGTCTGATTGGTTTCTATGATGAGACATTTCTTAGAACTATACGGAAGGCTTTGGCTTGTTTTCCAGAACAATTTCTCCCGGTGTGCGGTTACCAAGCTGTTTCTACAACAAAAGCACCACAACCCCCGGCGATACGCAATAAACGCCGCCACTAACCTGTAATTACAGAAATTGCTGGTTTGTGCTTCAAGGAAATATCATGAAGCGGTGACAAAGTGTCTGATTACAGAGCGTCCGGGAACGCCGGAATCATAAGGAACACTCATAATGAGGTCATATAACAATAAAGAGAACGTGACTGAGTGACAGGATGCATCCATAGCGCGCACCACGGAACCACATCACTTCTTCTAATGTATTTATCTGTGATGCTGCAAGGACACTGCACGCATAGGAACCGCCTGGTGACTATAGACAAGACGCGCCCCCGTGATAAAAGCTGGTGTACCCGCATGTAGTCACACAGACAGACCCGAGGCATGCCATGGGCGCCCATTAAAATGCAACTTCATCCAAACATCTTATCACAGTTGAAGCACGTACACTGGAAATCATTTACCTGTCAGCCCAACCGAGACACAAATAGGGATGCAACTCATTTAGGGCTGCAACAACTAATCGACATAATCGATTATAATCGATTATTGAAAAAGTTGTCAACTTTTTCAATAATCGATTAATCGGCTTCTGATCAGTTGGCCCTGTTCACGGCTCCACACACGCTGCACGCCGCACCTCCTCCCCACCTCACGCTCGCCGCTGCCAGACCCGCCCGCATCCACGCTCTTCACGCCGCACCTCCTCCCCGCCTCACACTCACCGCCCGCCCACATCCACGATCGGCACAGGGACGCGGGGAGATGTAGTAAGGAGGAGCAGGTGTGGGTGGATGACAGCCGCCGATAGGTCCGATCTCAGAAGCAAGTTGCTGGAAGACTGCTCAGGTAAGCCTGCACTTCCCCACACATGGTGCTCTATAATGTATTGCTGGGATTTGTATTCCTCTATAGCTGAATATACATTGACCATCAGCTATAGAGGAATACATTATACACTGCTGGGTGCTCCTAATATAGCTGGTGATATTCTGCACTGAGCTGTATAGAGGACTACAAATCCCAGCAATAATACAATATACGCGCAATGCGGAATACCACCAGCTATAGAGGACTACAAATCCCAGCAATAATACATTATACAGCGCAATACCACCAGCTATAGAGGACTACAAAACCCAGCAATAGTACATTATACAGTGCAATGCAGAATACCGCCAGCTATAATGTACTATTGCTGGGATTTGTAGTCCTCTATAACCGGTGCCATTCTGCATTCATTGCTGTATAATTTTACACTTTCTTTTTCACTATATTGCACACCACTATTTTTTTTTTCTTTTCTTTTTTACTTCTACCGCTCCAAGCTTGCTCCTGTGATGGAGTGCAATCTCAATACAAACTAGTAGTCCATCACTGGAGCCATTTTTTAAAATGTATTGTATTGTTTATCCGATTAACCGATTAATCGAACTTAATAATCGGCTAACTAATCGATTTTGAAAATAATCGTTAGCTGCAGCTCTAAACTCATTTTCATAATCGATTAGTTGGCCGATTCATTTTTTCAATTAATCAATTCATTGGATTAAAAATAAATAAATTGTGCAGCGATGCAGAATACCTTCAGCTAGAGAGGACTACAAATCCCAGCAATGTATTATACAGCAATGCAGAATAATAGCATCAGCTGTAGACTACAAATCCCAGCAATACATTATACAGCAATGCGGAATACCATCAGCTATAGAGACTACAGATCCCAGCAATACATTACACAGCAATGCGGAATACCATCAGCTATAGAGGACTACAGATCCCAGCAATACATTATACAGCGATGCAGAATACCATCAGCTAGAGAGGACTACAAATCCCAGCATTGCGTTATAAAGCAATGCAGAATAATACCATCAGCTGTAGAAGACTACAAATCCCAGCAATGTATTATACAGCAATGCAGTAAAAGGGGAGATGTACGGGCCGGTGGAAAGCGCTGTAAACAGGCATTGCACGACTCATTCAGGAAGCCACTCGCTACCTGATTAGCAAGAAAGCCGTCACTATTTGACGAGAAAGCATGGAGCAGGCTTACTGGCCAATCATGGAAGCTGAGCGCTGTGTAATGACGCAGCGCCCGGCTTCCTCATTGGCCGGGAAGCCGGCTCCATGCTCTCTCGGCTCCATCGGCCAATCAGAAAAAAACAGTGCGATGACAAGGGCAGGCTGGCACAGTGTGAATGGAGCAGGCTGGCATGTGGGCACAGCGGCACTATGACACGGGAAGGAGGGCGATGCCGGCACTAGGTCAGGCCGCCCCCCGCTCACTCACCTCCGGAGTCAGGTAGGACACGAAGGACGGCTGCTTGGGGGACTTGGCCACCCCTCCGGCTCCGAGCCCCAGCATGTCCCCGCGCAGCGCTCAGCTCCCTGCCAGGCGCTCCCTCTACAGCGGATACATCAGCCACGCCCACTCCTGCTGTCACTGGTCTACAAGCAGAGGGGCGGGGACCACGAGCTCCCTGTCCCTTTGAGTGACGTCACCTAGGTAGCGGCGGATGATTGGATGGACACCCTGCCAATCTGCAGTAACTATTTGTGTCCCCCTCCACGGTCAGGATGTGACTACTGACTGGCTGAGCTCTTCCTGATTGCAGTGGGCGGGGCCGGGGAGTGTCACCGCACTGTAGTACCGTAGTATAGACACGGGGGCGGAGCTCACATGTACTATAGACATTGGGGGCGGAGCTCATAGAGCCAGGATCTGATTCTGAAGGCAAAGTTGTTAGATCAGGAAAAACATTGGGGGGAATTTATGAAAACTGGAGAATACAGAATCCGGAGCAGTTGCCCATGGCAACCAATCAGCTTCTGTTCAGTTAAGCTTTGAAAATGAAAAAGGGAGAAGCTGATTGGTTGCCATGCACAGCTGCTCCAGATTTTGATAAATTCCCCTCAATGTGAATAGAAAGAAATATAACCAGAACACGTGGTGCTCTATTGTAATTCCTGACATATTATTTCTTTATATAGACAAAACTTCTGTTTTAAATTGTGTGCAGAATGGTGAAGGTTCTTTTATTCATATCAGCGTCCTATTTGGGGAGAATTATTTTTACTTCCTGTCCTGTAGACACCACAGGAAGTAAAAGGGAATATTTCCAAAGTACTGCAAATTCTTTTTTGCTGAACTCTAAGATAAGCCAATATCATCTACATGAGTGGTGTGTATATATCCCAGATCTGTGCAGTAATACAGAGTGCACACTTGGAGCTTCCTGTAATAAAGATCTGGTCTGGACTCCGCCCAGGTGGGATCATAGTGAAATGATCCCACTCACATGCACTAATATTATTGTTGAAAGTCAATACACGTTATAAGGTGGCCATACACTCTACAACCATCGCAAGACCTTAGTCTTGCGATGGTTGTAAAGTGATTAAAAAAACGTACAATCTGCCTATCTTGGACAGGCAGATCGCACTCTCGATCATCGCAAGCCCGCCCCCCTGAAGGGCGGGCTTCCGATGACCGCAATGCTGAACGGGCAGTGTGCGCGTGCGCACACCGGCCCGTTCAGCATTTGTCTTCCGAGCACCGTTCAAACCAGCCGAGAATCGTACGATTCCCGGCTGGTTTTCGAACATGCTGGTTCGACAGAAGACGTGCGACCGTACAGTAGAAAAGGGCGCACGTCTCCGTTCACACTGCTCGATTATCGTACGAAAAACCGATCGCATACGATTATCGTATGATAATCGTGCAGTGTATGGGCACCTTTAGACTAGACACAGGGATTTTCTGATTGGAACACACCTAATGCTTGATTGGCTCATACTAACTGACAAAGGCAAATATGTACGTTTTGAATGATATAAATATATTTAGAAGAGAAGTTTGAATGTGGAGATATGTAGGAATATCGGCCCATGGTTACCATTTCTAGAAATATCTTATCCTCTTTATCCAATAGGTTGAGTGATTAGGACCACTACATTGGATGGATTGAGGCCATGCCTTCTATAGAAACATCCCAGCAGGGTAGGCTGAGCTTTCGCAAAGTTTCCCAGGCACTCCTCCCCTTGATGCCCCGGGGGCCCAGGCACAACGAGGGACGGAGTGTGGTGGTCGGCTGTTTTCTAGCCACCTAATCATCTCGGTCCTCCTCACATTTGTTTTTATCTCAGGCACTGCTTATTACTATTAAACACCGGTTCCCTGAAGAAGCTAAATTTGCGAAACACGTTGGGACTATCGGGACAATCATGTTAGTTATAACATAACATAACCATAATATCCAGGGATACCAGTATCCCTAAGAATGAGATGATGCGTGGACCTATATGGGTTGGACTTGATGGACATATGTCTTTATTCAACCCCAAATACTATGTAACTATGTAACTATGAAGTACTGATGGGGTGGTCATAATAATCTGGCCACTCAGTGTATTTGGACTATGTATTTTTGAACATTAGGGACTATCAGGACAATCATGTCAGTTATATAGTTGGACTATGTATTTCTGAATATTATGGATTTTATTGTGTATACATATATATAGAAGCAATTGGCCTGAGACTGTACTTACTGGGCATATGTAAACTTGTATTTATTGGACGCAGTGTTTATTGTACTAACGAGATCCAATTTTATCTTATTTATCCAATTTTTTTGTTTAATACATTTTGATATACCTTTTACATAAGCATTGGTTGTATATCTCTCTCTACAAAACCCTTTTTCCTGAAGGCAGCCGTGCCGTACACATATGCTCCAGCTTGGCACAGCCGGGGCAGGGAGAACGGTCCGCCGAAGCAGACAGAATCCCCGCTAGTTTGTATGAAATAGTTTTTTTCTAAAAAACAGTGTGCGGTTCCCCTCCCAATTCATACCACACCCTTTAGCCCTGATAGGAATGTTAGGGAGGACCCCTATGTAAAAAAAAAAAAGCATGGGGTTCCCCCCAAAAGTCATACCACACCCTTTAGGTCTGGTAGGGATGTTAAGAGGGACCTCAACACCAAAAAACGGAGGCAAAAAACCAGTGGGGTACCCCCTTAAATCCAGAACTGGACCCTTAATCTGAGCAGTGGCCAGCCTGGCAGGGCAGGAAGGGGGGGACACAAGCGAGTGCCCCCCCCCCTCTCCCACCCTGCACCTTTTCCCACAACCCTGGCCGGGTAGTTGTGGGGATCTGCGGGCAGGGGGGCGCATCTTCATCGGGGTACTCCTTTTTACAAAGGGGGCACCCAGATGGTGCCCCGCCTTGTGAATGAGTAAGGGGTAGTTGTACCCCTTCTTATTCACCAAAGAGTTAAGTGAGCAGGGCTGCAAGCCTGGCCAGTGTCCATTCAGATTCCTCTCTCTTCCTGGATGCTTGGGGAAGAGGTGCAACTGCAGCCAATCAGTGTCCTTCCTTTGCCCCTCTCCCTGTGCTCTGCCAGTCCTTTGCAGGGAGGGAGCACAAGGCTGCAGCCAAGTGGGAATGTTCTGCTGCACAGCTTAATGGCTCATTCACACTGGAATCGTCCGGCACGTACAGCTCCATGCTGCGGGCACGGCCGTATCGAGCAGCTCCCGGGAAGGAAAGGTGCTGCGTGTGATTAGTACACAGCCACCGTCCTTCTCTATGGTGCGTGTTTCCTGGCTCTGACGCAGACAGGATCCACCCTGTCAGTGTACGAGTACACTCACCCTCACCCGCACCGACGTGCAGGGCGGGTGAGCGTAGGGGGGGCATAGGGCCGCGTACTCCCATAGAGAAGGACGGGGGCTGCTACTAATCACACGCAGCACCTGTCCTTCCCGGGAGCTGCTTTATACGGCCGTGCACGCAGCACGGAGCTGTACGTGCCGGACGATTCCTGTGTGAATGAGCCCTAAAGGGCCAACAGCCAGGCAGCTGGGCTACACATATGTTGACTTTAGAAAGAAACCCTAGACAAGGCAAGTCAGTGAACTTCAGACATGCTAAAATCAGAACACGGATATATCGTAGCGTCCTGTGGTTGGATTAATAATATCAGAGCAGGTGTAGAGGAAGTTTGGCGAAGGTTACAATGAAACAAGAAGTGATCTTTGTACTGAAAACGAGAAGTTCTAATTCTGATACCCAAATCAAAAGTCGGCACGTAACTGTTTTAGGCATCATTTTATTCCCCACCGGAAAGTTAGATACTTACCTTCTTCTTTTATGGGCTGTTACTGATGTAGCGCCCATCACCTTTTGTGATGTGACTTCCATGCATTTAGTGATAGCCAGGGCTGTAGACAGCCTGGCTGGATTTGTAGTGGTGATTACATGATTAATCCCAGGTGTCTAACCTTGCCTGTACCCCCCTGGGCAGAGTGAGACTCTGTCATATTGGGGGACAGCCAATAGGAGACACTGTAATATGTGTCCAGTACAGCAGCCAACCACTGGGCTTGTTTCAGCCAGTGGTGCCTGCTGGGATAGTGTACATATATGGGTGGGAGCTGCGATGTGCTCTCTCTCTCGCCTGGACCAGCCATGGATAAGGGCTGGGTCCTGTTCAGCCTGCCCCCCCAGGCTAGGCCGAGGCCTGGGGGTGGGCATTGGCTGAGTTGCTGAAGGAGAGGTTTCCTTGGAGGCTTCCAACCTGGAGAATGCCTGAAAGATGGAAGAACCAGAACTAGTGCGGGCTCTTGAAGTGCCTGGGATTTATATGGACTTCAGAGCGGGGTCGGTGTTCTTTCATGGATTGTGGATGTGTATTCCCTTGAAGATAAGATCCGGTGAGTCTGGAGCTAAGAAGGCCTGTGCACCTAGTCCCTATACCCTCTCTCCTACTGCATATGTTCAATAAACTGTTCAATTAGCATCATAATACGGAAGTGGACATCAATTTATGGGCGGTTAGTGCTAATGGGTGCGGCTGGAAATCAACCCCTAGACTGACTAGATTAGGACCGGGCAAACCGCGGCTCCCTGCGGGGAGTTATCGCTACACTGATTTCATTTTTTTCAGTGTAGCGGCAGGATCCCTCTGAAGTTTGAAGTGAAAACAACAATTCTCTCCACATTATTTATATTGCAAACTTCATCATTTCAGACTCTTACCGGTAGTTCTCTTTATAAGGCCTCATTCACACGGGAATCGGCCGGCACGTACAGCTCCATGCTGGGTGCACGGCCGTATGGGGGAGCTCCCGGGAAGGGCAGGTGCTGCGTGTGATTAGTACGCAGCCCCTGTTCTTCTATATGGGAGTATGCGGCCATATGTCGCCCTACGTTCACCTCAAGTGCAGGTCCGTGCGGGTGGCTCGGCTCGGACGCAGACAGGATCCACCCTGGGTACACTCACCCGCACCCGTATGGACGTGCAGAGCGGGTGAGCGTAGGGCGCCGTACAGCCGCGTACTCCCATGGAGAAGGACAGGGGCTGCGTACTAATCACACACAGCACCTGTCCTTCCCGGGAGCTGCCCGATACGGCCGTGCACGCAGCACGGATGT